CTGCTTTTGGCTAGAGTTAGTAGTGAAGATAACAAGACGTTATTGGCCAGAATCTTAATGTTTGTGTCTTTGATGGTCGTGCTCGTTGTGGACCTTTTTTTAAATGTCAAGACACTGGTTTCATTAACCCCACAGATATCAACCTCAGATAATGCCATATCAATATGTTTGCCCGTGTCAAAGCTCACTCTTTCTAAAGCTAATCAGAGCTAATCGAGTGAGACACAGAGGACAGTGCTTTATGAAGTGTGTTCAGTTTCTTAAACTGCTATATTCGTCATGTGATTGGTTTTAACATTCCACCATACAACAGTTTAAATAATTATTTAAAATATTAAATGTAAGGGAATTTGATTATATGATTTCTTCTACTGAAAAATAGTAAATTTCATATCTTTTTGGCCAGAACTGTAACTGGTATGCAACTGAGTTAAACATTTTCACAAATAAAAAAAATAAAAACTTTACAGAAAACTGAAAAATTAATACATTAAATGAAAGACAAACAACAATATATCAGGGCAGAATTTAAGTTCTAGTTTCACAAATATTTCTGGGCTCATTCATTTTAACCACAATTACTGTTTTACGGTTGTAAAGTTTAAGTCTTTAAATGTTGATTTAAAAAGTGACAGTTTTATTGCTTTTTCTGAGGTTGGTTCGTAGTGGACTGTGATAATGCACCCCATTGTTATTCACAAAAGAGGGAGTCTATCTGAAGGTTCTTGGAGAAAGGTTGCTGAGCGCCAAATTGGATTTCTGACGGAACGAGGAATCAGCTACTTGGGGACGATCCAGAGAAAGTTGAGCCGCCATCTCTTTGTGGGGCTTCTGCTGGAGTGCCATTCAGATGTGTCAGATCCTCCAGAGTCATTCAGATTCAGAGGGAAGGTTCACTCTGACCAGTTTTAGGGCTCGCTCCAGCTGCTGAACAGAACAAATCTGCTCAGGGGTAACACTATAAATATTTAATCCTTTTGCCATTTTGCTTTTTTACTTTAATTGACAGGAACACCCCATAAAGAGTTAATTTCCTTAGCCCTCTCGCAGCTTTGCTACAAGGCCTTTACTTAAGCTTTAGAGGCTCACTCTCAAAACTCATAATACTAAGAACAAAAAGACAGGAATCCATACAGACAAAAAGATCTCCACCTCTGGGTATTTCCAGAGTCCTATCAATAATATTTGTAAACTCATTAGGCTGATTTAAAAACTAAAAAAAAGAAAACCCTACACAATAACTACAAGGTTCATATCTTAAATAAAATTAATTGTTTATCTTCAAATCTGGCATAAAAGAAATGTAAGCAGATGTTTTAAGTATTACATTTTCTAACCTGTGTATATAAATTGCCAGTGCCCATTGGAGATGGGCGCTTGAAAGCAGAAGAATCAAGAGGGAGTCTTTATTGCCTTTACTTCCCTTAATGCATGTGAACTCAGTGCAAATTAAATTAACATAACAGGACTTCAGTTAAACAGTTTATTAGCTTTGTAAAGTGGATTTACCAAATCAATGTTAGTGCTGTAAATTATTGGATCAGCATATCCTCAACCTAAAAACCCCACAAATTTTAATTTGCTTCAAACATTAGTCTTTTTTTTTTCCTGTGGAAAGCATTTTTTCTTTATTTTGTGGAAAATATTGCACCTGGTGAAATTCAGGCATGAAAGCAGAGCTGCATCCAAAATGTTTTTAGTCATAAATGTGGACGGGTCACTTTTTTTTTTAACAATTGTTTTGCAGCACAAACACAAGCAAGAAAAAAAAGAACGCAGGCTAGCCAGGGCCCACTGAGCTTTTTTTCCAGCCTGGTGAAAAGAATGAATAATTCAACAGTAAGCAAGCTTTCAGCTGGTCATTTGTGTGCTTTGATCTGGGAATCAGGAGTTTGCATGAATGCCTGTATTGTCATGTTGTGCTGCCACAGTGCGTGAATTATTGAAAATAGTGCAGGTCCCTGCTTTATCTGGTAAAGTTTACACGGCAGGCACACTGGATAGACACGATGGATGTGTAAATCCCTAGATGTTGTTAATGTGTCGAGTGAGGTCACACAGCAAGGGCTATTTGGGCCTCTGCTGCAAAAGTGTTCAGTGTGAAAAGAACTTCAGGGTCAAGCAACAAACTACAGGTTGACATCACAAGCTTCTCTTTGCACCAAAATGTGAAGGTGTGGCACAGAGATGGGTATTTTAAAGTGTTAAAGAGCTCTGGTTGCTGAATAGTATGTTTTTCTTTCTATTTAAACTTACAAAGCTGGGTCTTTTACTGTAATATTCAAGAGGCTATACAATGCTATATGATAAGCCAGTTTTAGTCATTCATTTCAACTTCCGATTAATTCATTTATAAACTTTTTGTTTAAAAAGGTATGATTGATAATAATTGATAACTAAATGGTGGAGCTAAAACATTAGTGATTCGTTTATTATTTCATATTAAACTATAGCAAAAGCAGTTGTTAAATTATTAAATTTGTTTTCTTTTTAGCCAAAATGGTTTTTAAAAAAATCACAAAATATTTTATCTAAAAAGTTTTTAATCAAGTAGAATCAGACTACTTAATTATTCTCATAGAAAATCACATCGTCACAGTTGCTCCGTGACATCAAGAATGATAGCAAACAAGTTAAAGCACCATATTAAATATTAAGACATGACATGGAAATGAAATGGCAAATACAAGACAACAGAACAAAACTTTTAAATTAGTTGTGTGAAGTTGTGATTTTAAAAAAAAGATCTTATGTATCAAGCCTAAATTAATTAATTTGTAAAACCAGTTAGTCATTCTTAGTCTTGTAATTCAAACTATCCAAATGAATTAATTGTTATTATTGTTACTTAATTGTTGATGCCTTTCAAAATAAGACTTTCGCTTTGTCATTACAGACAGGTAGAAAAATATCTTTCACTAACCTTCACGATGTGGCTTTGTCTCAAGTTTAAACCTCTAAGATTGACACTTGTGCGCCTTCACATTTTGAAGCCTCCTGTGCGTTGCTCTTAACAAATTGGCTTCCCTCCCTAACTCGCAAAGATACGGCTGATTAGCACATCTGCAGAATGCTGCGGTCTATTGTGTCATAACAAAAGTAAGACCTTTAATTGATAATGGAAGAAAGGTAGAAAAATGTTTCATTATATTGAGGGTTTGTTGAATTTCATAGAGAACTACAGCAAATCCATGGCGTTGGTTAGTTACAGCTGGACACATAATTAGAGTGCCTCCTTACCTATAATTTGTGTAATAGTTTTGGTTGGCGGCATGTTATTACCATATGAAAGGGCTAAGCAGGGGTCATGTGCATTGCGACAGCAATTAGAGCAGAGCTGAGGGCAGAAGAATGTTTGGGGCTGTTGTTAATTGGAAATCTCTACAAAGCTATGCTTCAATTATAATTTAGTCAGAGCAGCACTGTTTTAAGCCCAATGTATTCAGTTGCCATTATTTTCTGTAATAGTATGAACAGCCAGGCCTGTTTCCTTTCAAAGCATGAGGCTTTGAAGAGAATGAGATTGAATTAGATTAATTTTAAAGGCCTCGGTGCTGCCGCTGTGAGTTTTCTTTATTCATGCTAATGTCATACGATGTTGCCATAGAAAAACTGATTCGGGTTTGTTTAGGAGGTACACATACTCTTATATTTAGAGTTACAACCATAAGTTATTTTATTCTTATCTATGAATTTAGGTATACATCTATCAGATTGACATTTTCATAAATCTTTCTATTTTCAGAAGTACAATACCGTGGTTTTTAAGAGCATTAGCTGCATTTATTAAACAGTGGCACGTATTCTTCAGTAATTATGCAGATACAGAGGATAGATTTGAACAACTGTGTGAAGTACAGAAATCTCCAATCCACCCCACTATAAAAAAATAAATTAATTAAAGAAAGCCCCGGGGAAGTGTGTGTTTCCTAAAGAGGTAGTTTTAATTATAAACTGCTACTTTTTTTTATGCTTGTGATTGATCTGAGTGTTTGGTTTTTGTCAAAACCTAAATTCAAATCTATTTTTTAATAAGCATGCTTGTGTTTGATTGTTAAAAAACTAAAATCAGAAGCAACCAAAGTCTACAGATAAGTGTTCAGACTGCAGAAATTTATACTTCTTGTTGGTTTTTATCTACATTGCTCTTCATTTTCTGGTTTCTCCAGGTCGAAATGAGCTGATAGCGAGATACATCAAGCTCCGGACCGGCAAGACGAGGACGAGAAAGCAGGTTAGACGAGACGTCTCTGTTACATAAGTGTGTTTGAGGGCTGTCAAATCTGAATGTGTGCACACTGCTGCCTTTGTTTTAGAGGAACAAAGTAAGACAGAGAATAAGACTATGCTAACTGTCAATAAGATTTCTAGGACTGACAAAGATCCTCTGTCTCCCTGTCACTGCTGTGTTGCAAGAAGAGATTATCACGTTTTCACACTATGCATTTAAACGTAGGCAAATATATAAATAATATATAGGTTTTCTACACTGCTTATGGGTTGTGGAAGCAGGTATTATCTGAGCTGTCACAGGAGGAGAGGCAGGGGTACACCCTGGAGGAGTTGCCAGTTTATCATAGAGACAGACAACCACACACTTTCAGATCCATAAAGTCAATTCAAGATCACCAATTAACTCACCATGCATGGCTCTGGGCTGTGGGAGCAAGCTGGAATAATCATCAGAAACCAACCACAATCCAAACTGAACCATTTTTATGCGATTGTCTACTAACTATTTCACCACTGTGCTTCTTATTTTTTGGTTATTGGGTTAACACATTTGCTTGGCAATTGAAAATGTAGTAGTTCTGTCAAATTGCCTTTGAGGTTTCATCAGAGCGTCTGTTGTAAAAACTCTGCCCAGTCAAATAAGCAGACTTAACCACTGTGGTGAGCACTTGTGCTAAAAGTAACTTAGTAGTAGTACTAGTGGTCTTATTTCTACCAATCTCTACACGATATTGAATAGTTTTAATGGTGCTTTAGTGACTCTACGAAGCCCCTGATCTTTCCTCTAAACAGGAACTTCCCTGCATGACTACTGACTTGAATGACAGTGATAAACAAGTCAGTGTTTACAGTGACATTCGATCACTGTGTGTGAATTGATCAGTCTGGACCAGAAAGGTGTGGTTTGTCTCCTGTGTCTCATCTTCTTGGCACAGAATTGGACAAAAAGAGGGTTGTTTGCGCTGAGCAATACCAATAAACACGTATGATGTTACTTTAAATATCACGTACAGCATGAAAGTAATTGATTTAGTTATTAACATGGCACCAACAGCAACATTGATCATTTTTCTCACCAGCTCCAGTTTGTTTTATTGCAACTAAATTGAATATCTATGGACTAATTGATGTGAATGTAATTCTTCCATCGAAGGAACTAAAACCCCTGAAGGTTTAGCTCTTTTGCTTCAGAAATTATAAAAAATGAGTGATGACTGTGATCAACTGATTGACTAACAGTTACAGCTCCAGTTTAAGCACCAACTCATGTAAAAGATTGTGAATAATGTAAAGACTTATCAGCTAACCAAACACTTTCCTGTTAAATCACTCCCTTGTTGGGGTACTCACCTTGGGTTTCATTTGCATGAAAAGTGCCAGAGGAGAATGTAAATCTAGCTCTCAAACCTGTCATCAGCTCACATTAGGTCTCTTTCAGACGGCTACAGATGAATGTTTCATTTGAGAGTATAAAATCATTTTGAACTGTATAGACATCGTAGATAAACTTGGCTGGTGAAATGCCTTTTGCAGCTCCCACAAGGATACTAGACTAGCCGATTTTCATTCAGCACACAGCAGATCACATCTGTGTGCTCTTAATGTGTGCTAAAGGGGCCTGCATCCTCCTTAATCAGTTCACTTAAGTGACGACGACACAGCATAACGCTTTATTGGCTGTTAGCTTGGTGTGTGGTTTGAAGATGCTTCTGTTATACACCTTATCTCCTTGAAGTGTTTTTAAACAAAGACATGTGTGATCCACTTTGTACTTTTTTGGGTTTTCCTGTTTTTTTATTTTCCTTTTTCTCTTTTTTTTAAATGGAGGTGTCTAGTCACATACAGGTCTTAGCAAGAAAGAAAGTTCGAGAAATCCAAGCTGCCATTAAGGTACGTCTGGCTTTGCCCAGTTGCAGGGGGCTTTTCATTGCCATGGTTACAGGCTCTTCCTTTGTTTTCCTCCCCTCCCCTACTCCGCAGGTGTCTAGTCACATTCAGGTTCTTGCCAGAAGGAAATCTCGTGAGTTTCAGTCCAAGCTAAAGGTATGCGCTTTTCTGCTTTTGGGCTTGTTTGGTTGCTGTGCATCTTAACTTTCTGTTTCCTGTAGAGACAGAGTGAATGCTTGATCCTCTGATTCCCCCCATAACCCAAATCCTCTGCTTTTCTGTTCAGCCCTTCTAATCTCACTTGCTCACTTTCTTGACCATCTCTCACTCGTTCTAACCCAAACATGCTGTCACTGTCCCGTCTGCTTGGTTTCAATGACATTAATTCTTTCATCACCGGCCTTTGCTTTGAGAGCAGCTGCACAAAATAACCGTGATCTTGTATAAATATATAAAGACGTGCTTTTGCGATTTAAATTAACAAAAAATAGTCCGATATGTGGATCCTACATGTTTAATCTTTTATTAGTCATGAGCCTGACCAGAACTGGATTTTTCTAGGTAATTTTGCTGAAATTGAAAAAGTTTTTAAAAATAAATAAATAAAATTAATTAAAACTACATTTCTTAGCCAGTACATACAAAGCATAAAATACACAAAGAAATACAGACTTGTCTCCAAACACTCGTAAGTACTTTACAGTTTCACTGTTGTGAAACACTAGAGATGGACATCAACCGGATAACGAAGATTTGCCTTTAAAGTAAAGAGTGGCACCATTCTGCTGCAACCAATACATTTAAACAATCACAACTTTTAAAATTAAGGCGAACTTTCTTCATGTCTAGTCTGCATCGCACTTGTTACAGTTTCACTACGACTTGGGGAGTGGGTGGCAAGCATTTATAGAAAAGTTGACCATACAGCCTACAGGTGACTGCAGCAATGCCTTCTAGCAATCAAAGCAATCACAAGGAGATTTTTGGTGCAACACTATATAGCTATTTGCAGCCAATTTGTACTAGCTGCCAGCAACTTCCATCAACCACTTGCTAGCAGTTGAGGAATATACATGTTTTCTTAGTGACTAGTGTCTAGGCATGTGTGACTAGAGCCTAGCTTTGAGCTAAAAGCTAACAAACAAACAGTGGAAATGTTCACAGTCTGGAATTTCAAACCGTAAATTTCAAACTCGTCGCCGCATTTTTGAAGTCGGGGTAATCATTAACATATGTACCAAATTTGATTACATTTGAGTGATTTTGGATGTAAATGAAAATGTAGAAGTGGTGAAATGAAAAGGATTCGAAATCTGCAGCGCAGTCTATAGAAAACTACATAAAATCTGTGGAAATCCATCCTGGATCAACGTTTGTAGATTGATTAATATTTTGTTCAAAGAGCCGATGTGTTACTGTGTCTTTATGTAATGACAAATTCTCTAGTAGTGCAACAACACATACTCAGTACTAGGTCATAATAACAATGGTCTGCCCATTTTTGTTTTGGTTTTTTTGATTGGGGGCTGGTCAGGCTCAAATTTTCCTCTATTAAAGTCTAAATCAAAGTGTGTGCATGTTGGGAAGCATGCTGGCATTGGCTGTTTTGGTGAGTGGCTGGAAGCTGAAGGTGCGGGGAAATGGGTCTGCTTACATCTCTTACTAAGCAGACTTTATTTTTTTAAAAAAAAGGCAGCATGGCAAAGGGGGCGGGAGTCCCGTGTTTAAAAAATGAAGAGGAGATTACACCTCTGCTTCCTTTGACAATGTAACCCAACTTTTCCTCACCGTCAAAGACTCAGTGGTGCACATTCAGAGCAGAGAATGGCAGTGAAGCTGGCTGTTTCTGAAATCCCCCCCCTGCTTTCTTGTTCTCCCTTCAATCTGTTGATAACTCCAGGCTCTCACAATGCCATGGCTGTCAGTCGCTTTCCTTCCTCCCAGTTCAGATGTCGTCATTTCAGAACGTTCTCGTCAGTTATTTCAGAAATAGTGAAATCTGTTAAAATCGCTGAAGAAAGCTTTTCAGAATGGCACATTAAAATGGGAGAAGAGCATTGTGAAAGAAGTAATCTTGAATAATACTGACCTGTAATTTAAGGTATTTTATGAAGTAATGCTTGTATATCAAAGGACACTCCACCCATGTGCCATTTTCTTCTTTTCTTAGGGAGCCGACTATACGTTTTGACTTTCACACTTTGCTCCACTCCCAGTATTCAACACGAATTAATGACCCCTCATTAATCTGTGTGTGTGTGTGTGTGTGTGTGTGTGTGTGTGCGCGCGTGCGTGCGTGCGTGCGCGTGTGTGCGTTTACACTGAGAGACAGAGTCAGACAGGCAGCTAGCCACATGAATGCCTGTTCTTTCAGGGGCACAGGCGGCTGTCTGAAGAAAAACAGACAGCTTTTGTATGAATCCCTGTCTTTTCTCATTTAAAGCAAATTAGAGTTCATTGGTGAAGAGAAATACAAGTGTGCCCTTCATTCTGGGGGGCATCAAAACCTGCTGCTTCTCGTCCTGTCTGTGGCATTTTAGTATAATTACAGTCATTACGTTAGTGTTCCCTTGTTTTGTCTTGAGTGATGACTACTGATCAGATTGTGAAAATTATAGAGCGTAAGACTTTCTCCACATGATTTGTAAATACAAATTTCATAATTCTTTGTGATTAAGTGTTAGTTACACATCTGTGCATGTATTGTGTAAAGAAGAGCAGACATTTACTTTGTTGTGTTTTACCGATGTTTAAAGGTGTATTGCTGATATATTTTTTTCACACATAGCTCTTGAATTAACTGCAGTGTTTGAATTGCAATTTTCCAATAAAACCTTGTTTGTTTGCATTTAGGTTACAAATATGGTGAGTATTTTGTTTTCTGCTTGTGACACCGTGTCTGCTTCAGTTAGGACCTGCCTTGCCCTTCAGCTTCTAGTTTTGCATTTCCGCTCCTGCCACAGTAACACAACACCGGCTGGCAGTGTTCATTGGTGTCCGTGTGTCATCATGCCACGAGCATACTGTAGCTCGACTCTGCTCCGTCAGCATGTACTGCCAGCATGCTTACCTGTAGCTTCTGCCACCAGTGAGTCTGCATGGGTTTGCCAGTTTGTATGGGTGCAGTCTCCTGCAGTATGAGACGTTTAGCATTATTTGATAAAAACACTTCGGCCAAAGTAGCGGAAAGTATGTAGTATGTAATACAGGTTTTCACTGTATTTCACAATAAAATCCCTATAATTTCAAAAACCTCTTTTCCAAAGATTAAACAAAAGGAACTGACTAGAGTTGTGAAAAAAACAACAAACAACAACAACAAAAAAAACTATTAACCAAGTGGGATTTGTGTCCTTCAGTTTTAGTTGAGAAATTCTTTGTGTTTAGACGTGATGTGTTTTGACATGCACACAAATGCAGCCTTGATGAAAAGCACTTCTGAATGAGTTTTTAAAAAACTAGATTAGTCAACAGGCAAACTTTCATTTAAGTGCATACCACTGCTAGCTACGGTATATTGGAATTCAGTCAGCACATAACTTTAAAAAAAAATAATAAAATAAAGCCTGCATGTAGCATAGAAATGCCAGTGCTGCTTCTTTTAACCTGCTTGCTTTTCGCTGTTGTGAGAGAGGTCAGCCGTGCTTTCAGTGTGTTGTTTAGAGTCTCGTTTGTGCTACCTCTGCAACACACCCCTCCTCTCCCTTCTGTGCGAGTGCTAAGCCTTTTGTGACTGCTGTTAAAGGACCAAGCCGTGAAGGACAAAGCCCTCCAGAGCATGGCCTCCATGTCCTCGGCTCAGATCGTCTCTGCCACGGCTATTCACAACAAGCTCGGCCTGCCAGGCATCCCTCGCCCAGCCTTCCCTGGAGCAGGGGTAAGAGCCTTGCCGGCACCCCGCTATTGATCCATCCTGTCCAGCTTCACCCAGGGCAGCGATAGGGCCAACCACACCAAAAACCCAAGCCAAATCACATTACACACCACAGCTTTGCACAACTGCCCCTATCAGATAAGCACATGATCAAAAGGAGTGGTAGTCAAGATAACTACATACACTGAACATGGAGCTCAGAGCCATTCTGATCTTGTCACTAACAGCTGCTCACAATTGGATGTTCTTTGTTGCTTGTTCTTTCTTGTCTATTTATACATCTAATTCTGTAGTTATGGCAGGGTATGATTTCGGCTGGTCAGCCAGGATCATCACAAGAGTAAGTTTTAAACCTTGAACCAACTTTTTCAGGAAATAAATAAATTCTCTTTAAACAAAAATGAAACCGTTTTTTGCCTAATGACTGTTGGTTTTTTGTTCCAGTATTAAGCCTTTCACCCAGCAACCCTATCCCATCCAACCAGCAGTCACGACAGCAATTTCAAGTGAGACTTTACCTAATTATAAAACATGCAACATTCAAAGATGAACTTTGTAACTTGTTTTTCAAATGTCTTTTCAGATATCTCGACCCTAATTTCTTAATCCAATAAAAATGTAATATCTGTGGTGCACTGTCATTATTTCTGTTTTGAAATATTTTGCAATATCTTTTGAATTCACCACAGAATTTTTTTTTTTGTCTATAAAAACAATCAAATTGGGAGATGTCTCCTTAGAGATGAATGAAATATTATAGAGCATGCATTTCCTTCCAAATCAAGCATGTCAGATTTCTGTAAATCTGCACTAAGATATTAAATTAATTTTCTTGTGTCATCACAAACCTGATGAAACGAGGTTAATGTGAACTAGTGTTTCAGAAAGAACATGCACATGCTCTGCTGGGAAAACAACCAGCAGAACAGATGAATATTTTGTTGTTCTGGTGTTTCTGCAGGTTTCGAGCCCACAGCAGCTCCAGCACCCACGGCGCCAGCATGGCAGGGCCGCTCCATTGGTACATCTAAACTCAGACTGGTGGAGTTCTCTGCCTTCCTAGAGCAGCAGAGAGACCCAGACTCTGTGAGTGAAAGCATTATACCAAAGCATGAAATTTCACTATCTCTTGGTGTTCATTCCCACCTCTTATCACCCAGTCCTTTCCTCTATGAATACACTGGGACATTTTCCCAGGCAGAGAGTCAGCTGAGAAGAGGCCAAAACAAGCTGAGAGGGGCAAAAGGCTGGCTGATGCAAGGCACGGAGACCTGCAGAAATAATGAATGAATGCATATTAATCAGTTCCTTGTATGTTTTGATTTCTTTAACAATATGTTTGTTTTTCATTTTAGTGAATAGTCTTTTGCATTGATAACATAGGAACAGCCTTTAATCTTAAATGCAACTTGAGGCTTAAAATATTGCATTTGCACTCGGGGCTGTGTGCCGGAGACGCCGTTCTGTGAGCTTTTACACTGAAGTGCAGCAGAGTTTCAGACGGTCACAAAGAGGGCAACAAACCTTTGAAAACAAAATGTTTTTTCTGTGATTCGCTGCTCCTCTTTCATCTACTTTTGGCTCTCCATCACGGGTTTGAGGTTTAACTGGCCCTAATTTTTATTCACATTGTCAAACCAAATTCAGATATTTTCATTTAAAAGTTTAAAAAATTGACCAAATCAAATAGGAAAGAAATGACCAAAGCACTTTTGTTTTATATTATCATTTTAACTTGGCTGAGGTAGAAACATTTTTACATTTTCATGTGACGAAAGGTGGTAAGATTGTCTACGTTTTGCACAGTTGCTCAATCATAATTTGTGGCTGAAGCAGCTTTATTTAATACAAATGAGGGGATCAGTTTATTTTGAGGGTTAGTGAAACATAAATGTTATTACCTAATTTGTATATCATAAAGCAGGAAAGTTGCTCAAAACTATTCCGAGTGACTAATAAAAAAGCGATGTTGCAGAGAGTTGTTTCTCATCCCAGTGCATTATCAGTCTAATCCTGGCTAACACTTGCTTATTGCAGTGATTACTTCAGGACTGGCACATCAGATCTGGCTTATTTTGCTTCAGTAAACTCTTCTGTGCTGATGACTTTGTGAATATTGATACGTGCTCCTTTTGCATGTGTTTTTATGTACGCTATTATTGAGTTCACGCTGCAAAACAAAAGAATCCGACTTTAAATAGTTTCATCTTTTTTATTTTTTAATACAAGTTTCCATCTGTATTCATTTTTCATTTTACTCTTGCAGTACAACAAACACCTGTTTGTGCACATCGGGCAGACGAATCATTCCTACAGTGACGCCCTGCTGGAGTCGGTGGACATTCGTCAGATCTACGATAAATTTCCAGAAAAGAAAGGCGGACTGAAGGAGCTGTATGCAAAAGGCCCCCAGAATTCCTTCTTCCTTATAAAATTCTGGGTGAGTGTAATTTATAAGCAATGCTGATGAGAAGATGAGTATCTGATAAAAAAAAAAAAAATGCTTTGTTGCAGCTTGATTAGGCTCTCCATACATAAGTATTAATTTCATTGTAACCTTTTGCGCATTGTGAAAAATTTGATCAAACAATCCTGTTTAGTAACAGTGTGTTCTGCTTCATGCTTAGTGATTGGGTGTAATCAGTCTACACAGAGAAGATTGCTCTCAATGTTTGCAGAATGCACTCTGCTATATTTGGACTTGCATAGCAGGAGAGCTTTTGATCAAAGCACCCACTAATTCAGTGTAATATCTCCAAACAATGGAGTGACCTGGTTGCACTCCTAATGGCTGTTTAAACATTGCATGCATTTCCTCCCTGATGCAAAATGCTAACTAGCGGCAGCAAACAAAGTAGGGCCGTATGCACTTGGACCAAGTCCCTCAAATTCCTTTTGAAGTGACCGACAAATTTAAATTTCAAATGAAAGGCAGAATCTGCACAATAATGAATGTATAACTGCTTTGCTTAATGAAGGAGGAGAATGTTGTAGGAGGACGTCTCCCCTTTTTGTGTCCGTAATGAACAGGATGTTCAGGGCACAGAGAGGCTGCCCTCCAGGAGCAGACCCGCTCAACCTTGTAAATCAGTCTTTTAACGTAACTTCATTTAATCCTCTTTAGAATCTTTCTTCCAATATGGGCACATTAACATGCTTATTCAGATGTGGCCAGGATCTTCTCATTTTTTATGCGATATGCACGGCTGGGCTCAGCAGCCCTGATCAGACAGATGTTTGCCGTTTCAGAAAGCTACATGACCGACTGTGCACATCTTACAGTATAAAATGATGTCAAAATGTTTGAATTAATATCTGAACACCATCATAATATTTCTAGTAATGGTTAAAGAGATGTTTTTATTCAAGTGTCAAATACAGAGTGGCGCGGTGGTGCCGTTGGGGTAGCACTGTTGCCTCACAGCACGAAGGTCCTGAGTTTGAATTCATTGGCCAGCTGTGTAGAGTGTGCATGTTCTCTTTGGGTAATCTGGCTTCTCCCCACAGTCCAAAGACATGCGTGTTGCGTTAATTAGTTAATCTAAATTGGCTCCATGTGCGAATGGTTGCCCCAGCCCCCCCCAAAGACCCTGAATTGGAAAATCATAAGGAAATGGATGAATGTAAAGATAAACCATCCATCCATTCGCGGTCGCGGGGGGCGCTGGAGCCTATCCCAGCTGTCATAGGGCGAAAGGCGGGGTACACCCAGGACAGGTCGTCAGTCTGTCGCAGGGCTAACACACAGAGACAGACAACCATTCGCACTCACATTCACTCGCACATTCACACCTAGTGGCAATTTGGATTATCCAATTAACCTATCCCCACAAGCTGCATGTCTTTGGACGGTGGGAGGAAGCCGGAGTACCCTGAGGGAACCCACGCAAACACGGGGAGAACATGCAAACTCCACACAGAAAGACCCCGGCCTGATGGTGGAATTGAACTCAGGACCTTCTTGCTGTGCGGCAACAGTGCTAACCACCGTGCTAAAGATAAACCTATGGATAAAAATCATCCGTATCTCGTATGAGATATTTATCAGCAGCTGGTAAACGTATTCAATCGTCTTGTAACAAAAAAGGTAAATACTTCTCTCAGCAGTTGGTAGAGACCAAAAATGGAGCTAAAAGCACAAATGTTGGACCCCTCTTCTCATTTTCTCGTGTGTGCAGTCAAGGTAAGAGGGAAGAAGAAAAGGCGAGGCACTTAACAAAATGAGACATTCTGGTTTCTGGGCAGTCGATTGAATGTGCATGTTGAGAATGCACAATGGAGAAAAACACGAAGAGCTTTCTGCTTCTCTCTAACTCCTGGAAGTGGTGTATGTAAAAGGAAAAAAAAGTAATTATTGAATTGTAATCCACTTTTTTACTGCTTAAGAAGAGCAGTTATAGTTTAAATCCAGATAACTTAACATATTTTAAATGTATTATTATATTTTTTATTGTTGTTATTATTTTAATTTAATTTTCCCAGTGATACAAGTAGTTTTTATTTCATTCACCTCTGAATAGTTCTTCCATTTCCTATGTCCATGTCGTCCTGGAGTACAGCGCTCTTTATTTTGTCACTGAAGCGCTCCAAACACGTACTTTATTATCTTAAGTTCTAAATGGTAACCTATTTAGAATTGGTATGCGTTTAGTATGCTCACATGAGTCCTTGAACCACATCTCTAATACAGTTAAGAATTTCACAGAAATGCCAAATCTGGCTTTAAGATTACTTGGAAACACGGTCATCTTTAAAGTGGCATTTTTCAATTTAATATGCACCATCTTGGCTTTTAATCCTTTAAAAATGAAAAAGGTATTGGTAAAAAAATGTTTTTAAATATCTTATATAGGTGTGTTTTATTTTAATTTTAATAGTATTTAGAGATCCAGTATTTTTAAACTACTAAACTTTCCATATTGGTATTAAAATGTTATTAAATGGCACAATACTTTAAGGGTTTGGATGCATTAAATATTTTAATGTTTGTTCCTTTTCCCTATTGATTTTGATCGGGGCACAAACACGGTTGCCTTCGATCAAACTTGCGATGGAAAACACCCAAATAAATGTTGCTTCTCAGCCTTATTTTTCTATGAGGATTTTTTTAATCTTATAAAAAAGCAGCAACCCTTTGGACTTTCTGTCAGTACAAGTATTCTTCCAAGCCTTTCATTTCAGTAGAAAACACATTTAAAACTCTTCATCTCCTTCCTTTTAAATGACTTGTACAAAAGGACATTGTAACAAAATGAAAATGTTTTCGTTGTTTTTCTTTGCCTCAGGCTGACTTAAACTGCAACATTCAAGATGATACCGGATCTTTCTATGGCGTCACCAGTCAGTATGAGAGTCCAGAGAACATGACCATCACATGTTCGACAAAAGTTTGCTCCTTTGGCAAGCAGGTTGTGGAGAAAGTCGAGGTATGAACTAAAATGAGAAGCAGGATTTTTTTTACTGTACCTCCTGGGGGTTGTTTGTGTGTTTTACATTTCTTATGTGCGCTGCTTGTTCTTCTTTCCCCTCAGACTGAATATGCACGCTTTGAAAATGGACGTTTTGTCTACCGGATAAGTCGATCCCCCATGTGTGAATACATGATCAACTTCATCCATAAGCTAAAACATCTGCCGGAGAAGTATATGATGAACAGTGTGCTGGAGAACTTCACTATCTTATTGGTAATCACCTCACTGACCTGAGTGGGCGACGTCCCTCTCTGGGAGTGTTTTTCTCGCTGCTGTCAGGATGTGCTGGTGGCTCCAGCTGGCTTTAAAAAAATCTGAGTGGGGGCAGTGGGGGGACTTCAGGCCTTGAGATGTGTTCCTCTGCCTGGATTCACATTCCTCTCATTCCACAGGGGATGAAACACAGTGCGAGGACCCTCATTATCTGCAGGGGAAAGGGAGGATAAGAGAGGGCAGGAAACCCTGTTATTGGCATCACATGGGGTCTTAAAGTGTCATTCACCACCGCAGAGAAAGCACCCAGGCCAAGGGGTGTGCAAGCAGCCCCCCTCCCCCAAAAACCCATCTTAGTGTGTTAATCATTAAATAAACTCTTGAGTCATGTCAGACTTAATACATGATTATTTTTAAAAGTGCAGCAGTTCTTTTAAGACATATAAGTAGCACAAGACTGGAAGAAGGATCCAAAAATATGTTTCATAGATTGATATTATAATTTTCTAAGCACATTTTCCTCTTCTGCTTCTTGCTGAATCCTAATGTTGTGTTTTCATTTTTCAGATTTTTCCATTGTGCCCAGTATGAATACAAAGTAACCCTAATAGAGGGAAAATGGTAGCTGCAGCAAATTTTGTGTATTTCTCCCTAAAACATAGGGTTAGTTGGTTTCTTGTTCCATTTTGGCCTGTGCAGAACAAGAGATGGCTCAACACTATGCTCAGGTTTTACTGAAACATGATGTTTCAATTTATGCTACTAGATATTATTAAATTCTACTCTGCACATTTCCCCCCTTAAATAACATGTTTATATTCAAAGATTAGTTGATATCAGGAATCAAGGTCCAAGAGTTTAATGTATAAAGTATGCCTGTACACAAAAGATGTGCATAGATGAATTCCCTTTCATAAGCTGGTATTTAAAGAATGTAACGTACGTGCTGAGGCATCCAAAGTTCCCTACATTTCAACACCAGTTGTACACAGTTTTCTGTACAGTAAGATGGAAATGGAAAAACGTGAGAGAGACATCATGAAACATTACTTGTTAGTCAATTTCTGTCATAATTTTTCAACTCTGCTTTAATGTTTTTTGTTTGTTTTTTTTGGATTATAAAGACGAGGATGCTCTGAAATCACTCTCTCTATATTTGATTGGACCACCTGTAGGTTTGGTGATTCAACACATTTACCTCCTTATGCAAAGCCTATGTAGTGTCACGCCATTTATTTCCATGCAGAGTTGCATTAATTCTTCCAGGTCTTGTACTGAGGACGGGAGAATTGGTTCTCTGTGAAAAGTCTCCTCCCAGTATGTGCACAAAGATTCTCAACGGGGTCGAGGTCTGGGCTCTGTGGCGGTCCGATCCATGTTTGAAAATCATGTCTAATGTTCCCTGAACCACTTTGTTCACAATTTGAGCCCGATGTTATTGTTATCTTGGAATGTGACCTTTCCAACTGAGAAGTGGTTTTAAACATAGCTGTGAATTCTACTGTTGATTTATATATTTTTTTAATCATTTCATGTCACCAAACATGTAAATGATCTCTGATCACGATCATTCAAGATATTTTTTTCCAGCCACATTTCCTCCTCAGAGATGATTGTTCCCCACTGTTGCCCTTCCAGGTTTTAATCGTGCTTATACTAAATTTAAGAAGTAACAGCAATTTCCTCAGTGGTTTTGCTTGATTCAGCTCAATCATTCGACCCTTCTGAAAGGCAGTAACATCTTTTTGCTGATCACTTAATATCTTTTCCAGTATGATTGTTTAAGAAGTGAGAAGCTGTTCACTGCATCAGACTTAAATAATCTGCTCCCAGCTGAAACATATTAATCACTGCAGTAATTATCCAATGGATACTTTAGAGGCTTTTTTTTTTTTTGCATTCGTTGACTTGACAAAACCTAAAACTATAATCGGAGATGAAGTTGGTTCCATGCATCATATGACTTTTCAACCCAAAATGATTCCTATGAGTTACAGTGAGACATTAACAGATGATGATCCTGATAAAATGGCGATAAAAATCTATAAATAACAGTAAAATCCAGCACAACTGCCAATGAGACAAAAAAAAAGAATGCTGCTAAAATCATTCATCTTGGGATTTAGCATAGAGAGCGGTAGAATAAACATTTTAATTCGAGTTGATTATTTTTGTTGCTGAGTGTGCGCTCTCAGTGATGCTATTTATTTATAAGGTGACAGCTTCACATTAGAGCTCTGAAACTTCGAACTGGATAAAATTAAAGACGAAAGGTTACTTTGGAAAAAACAAAACAAAAACACAACTCACTTTCCCACAGCTGTCTGTCAGTCTGTCTGTCAGTTTCCCGTCCACGTCTTCAAACTCGGTAACCATCCTTTGCTGCATCCATTTCTCTGTTTATTTCCCGCTGTGCAGCGCTTCTCCTCTAAAGTAAGTGCTCTCTCTTGCAGGTGGTGACAAACAGGGACACCCAGGAGACGTTGCTATGTATGGCGTGCGTGTTTGAAGTTTCGAACAGTGAGCACGGCGCGCAGCATCACATCTACAGACTGGTGAAGGAATGAATCCGCTTGGAGCTCCTCCTTCTCATAGACTTACCAACCTCAAAACAAAAGTGGCAGTGCCTCTACACGAAAGTCATACCTACAACGCTCTTTGGTCAAGGTATCGGGTGGAGTCGTTGTTATAAATCCGTTTTAATATAAGTGTTTGTTATTTGACTGCAGCTGTGAATTGCGGTACAGTTGTTTTAATGTTTGAATATGGGAATTTTAAATATGTTGGTCTCTGTCGGGTATAAATGTGGCCATCCTTAAAGAGTTTCCTGGATGTGTTTGGTAAATGAAAATGTGTGTGTCGTTTTTTTCTGCTTTGTTAATGTAGACTAAGGAAAAAAAAAAAAGACAAAAGGACATGGGCCTTTTTTTGTTTTTCTATCAGCGGCATGGTTGCAGTCTGTGTAATATGTTTGAGGCTGTTTTGTACGTCTGTACTTCATGATTTGTGAGCATACATACTGTAGATACGCAGACATGAAAACACACACAGCTGTTAAACTTTCCAAAGAAACAGAACAACACTATACGTGCAGTGGCCGAAAGCAGGTGGTTGCCAATGTTGCGAAATTACTACATAAGAACGTCAACAACTGAGCTTTCGGCAATATTTATCCCTGTTGAAGCACTCCCAAGTTTTAGACACCAGAATGAATGCACTGTGAAAACACTACAGTTTGCCTGCATCCGCTCCATAAATGTAGGATGTAGTCTCACCGCCTGCTAAGCATTTCAGCGCTGCAAACAAATCTTTTCTCTGACAATGGGCAGGAGAATTTTTTTTTATTATTTTTTTTAAATAGGTGAGAGTCCTGCTAAAATGACTCTAATCGGACTTGTATCTGGTCAGAAAGCACTTTGTTTCCCTTCCTGTGCTTGCCTTAGTGATGCTTGCGTTTATTCTGTTAATTCTGCGCTTTAAAAAACTGTTTAACCTATCGAGACACTACAAAATCATAGACAGCAATGCGTCGTTCAGCATGCTGTGGCTTTGCCCCCCACCCAACACTCTGGGATCGCCGCGTGATAACTCCAAGCCAGAGTGTTGCTGCCTTCATGGTCACACTATGTTCACGTTTCTGTGGCCTACGCTGATTGCCGAGCCTTAAACACGTACAAACTGTATGTAAACTCCAAAAGATGCCACTAAAACTGTGATCTCTACATTGTGTTTGTGTTGTGTAAAATAAATGAATGACGACAACAACAACAACAACAACAAAAAAAATCACAATTCAAATCTGCCAAAGCCTAAGTGTACAGTGCCTTAGAGTATACTCATTATCCCGCATTTACCCTGTTTTCTAAGTCTAAAATTAGTTTTGTGTGAGACGGGCAGAAATAACTTACAGATGTATTATTTGGTACATCTTCACATCTCAGAAATCACGGTTCTCGAAATTGGTACACTCCTAGAAATACAGTTTTCGTTGTTGCTGGGTTTTTTTGTTTTTTAAAGAGGCAGTACACTTATATTCAATTATGTTTGCAAATTTAAGCTCAGAAAAAGGTTATTTTTCCTGTAACGCTGTAATATGTTCCTAAAATATCAGCCTTTCTTTTTTTCCTTCCTTCTCTAAGAGTGTACTATAAAAAGACTGACTGCCTTTCCTGTCGCAGAAGACCAAAAATACAGAGATGCAGTCAATTATTGTTGTGTCCTGCATGGTAGCAAGGAAGTGCCTTTGGTTCAGATTTTCCAGCTTAAAAAAAAAGATCAAACAGAAATTATAAATTTAATGTTGCCAGACCAAAAAAAAGAAGAAGAAGAAAAAAAACCAAGACATAAGTGAAACAAATCACCACATTGCCTTTCAAAGGACTGTAATGACAGCAGGGGAACATGGTTACTAAGGAGAAGAAATAAATGATATTCATTTTTATTACATTGTAAATTGATTTCTCAAACCCAACTATTTCTTCGCTTGAGGTTAAAGATATTGTGTAATATTGAACGGCCACTGACTGCATGCAGGATGTCAACAGAAAAACACTGAAGCTGTCTGCTTCGTGCACACTTGCAGGCTCAAGTGCTTTTTTTTGTTTGTTTGTTTTTTAAACGAGGCTTTTTTGGAAGCATTATGGTTTCACAATGTCACAGCTGTGATGGCGAAAAGGCAGGGACCGACACGAGCTTTTATCCATTAGAACAAAAAAAAAAAGAAAAAGAAAAAATAATGTTTATTTAATATTAATTCTACAGTACAGACTCTAAAAATGAAACTTAAGATTGTTTTACGTGTTTAAATCTGTATACTTTCATTGTAAGGATCATAATTACTCAAAACATTTACTATTTCTTACAGAAATTATAATCATCTTAAAGTAGTTTAATCAACAAAGCTCTAAATAATTGCAGACAATGTCTTGGGGTGGGGGGGTGCAGATAAAGTTAAATGATTCAGTATTTTTGCCGCAGTTCTGTGAATACTGTGGACTTTATTTTTCTTTTATGTTTACCTTGTGTATCTGTTCACATTTATCGATTACAGTTAGATGTTCCTGTTTTCTTATTGTACTTGTATACAGTCGTACCCGGTTTTGTGATGACATTATCTGTAATATTGCGAGCCCAGTGAGATGGTAAGGATGTTACTGCTGCACTGCTGGTACATTTTTACATTTTAACACTAAAACAGCAGGACTGATGCCTTTGATGGCACGAATGTCTGGTGGACTCTTTGCCCCGGAAAGTGGACGCGCCAAGTCAAGGAATCGCGGCTACAAGCATATCAGCTTTTGCTAAGAGTAGGTACTGGTACCTGGCTTTAAAGTGATTCTTGACATATAGCTCATGAAATGTAAACTGTCATTTACATATTTGGGTTTTGTGTGCAGATTTTTTTTCAGCCCCCCCTTTGTAAAAAGGTGCTTTCTATAAAATTATATCTTGGCTTTTCTTGGTACAGATGTGTGATCTCTTTTCATATCCATCACAGTAAAGTGTTGGAGCAAAGGAGAGAAAAGAAGCTCTGCTCTGTTTGTGTTCTGCATATGGTCTTGTCTTTGCTCCGTAACATTATGATGCCTTCTTGACAATAGTAGATATTTTGTAGCTTTCTAGATACTTTGTATGTACGCAATATTGAAGTTAAATAAATCTGAAAAAGATTGCTTCCTTTTATTTTTCTCACTTGAATCTTTGCTGTGTGGATGAGTCTGTTAACTCCTTGACTGCAAAAGCCTCACATCAACAGTAGATGGAGCATGTGAGAGAACACAATTTAATGTGCATCGCTGTAATGGCAGGACTCGCCACAAGAGGGAGACACCATTTAATAAAAGTGCTACAGATTTCTGTTTTCTTGCTCAACCTTTTTAAATCAGAGGTTCTCAAGCTATTTCCAGCACACCAGCTTCAGAAAACAATTACAGTTCAGCCCCACTCCCCACAAACTGTCAACACACAACAATGTAAATAAAACGGATTCAGATTTCTGCATTAGTAAAGTGCGTTTTGTTTATTTTCCTTCCAAAAATCATATTTATTCGTCCATCCATATTTTCCCCTGGTTTCCTGGCTGTCCTTTAGTGGTTCTATACCCAGCAGTGATGCCCCCTCAGTCAGAAAACCACTATTTCAGTAACCAGCCTTTATATTATTACTAACACAAACCAAAACGTTTTGAGTGTTGCACCTGAGATGGAGGGCCTCAAATAAGGTGCTGCTATAAATCATACACGTGGAAACCAACCAACTACTGCTGAACAGCTGAATAAAGATTAGTGCTCCTTAAGAGAGGCTCAATAAAACTAGTAGTTTAAGTGTGTAAAGTAATGCACCTCTACATGGGAGCTTTACACTTTTGTACTACTTAAAAATGTCACCTGAGTGATGCACATGTTTTTGTTTCCATTTGATTGGTACAATAATAACATGATGAATCAGTTCTCATGGGTTTGACTCAAGTGAAATTTATCTTTATGTGAAGCTAATCTTTCCTGATATGTGGACTGGAACTTTGGGGGACTGCATGCTGGTAAGTATGTATATGACTTTGCATTGTAATGTGGAAAGTAAAATTTCCACCCACTAACACACAAACATCCTAATCCATCAAGACCAGGCATACACTGTCACATGAGCACTAGCAAACCAGCAAAGCTAGAGGTAAGTACATCTGTCAGAGATCTCCTGACAGAATAGCTGAATACTCATTTATTCTCTTTCTTTGTAAAGTCCCTGAGTTCAAGACTGAGCAAGGCTAATACTTGAAAGCAGTGAATCAGAAGAATAAGCATAACGAAGGAAAAGCTAACAGGGTCAACATTATGAATTCAAGTAAAGCACCTGAAGTGTTCCATATCTATGCTCCCTCACTCATATCAACACAGGCAAACTGACTCTGAACATTCAGATCACTGAATGCAAAGTGTGATCCATCAGCAGCAGGCAACAGTCCGCTCATTGCTCTGAACTACAGGAAGGAGCATTTGTGTGTCTGCCTTCCTTTTTCCTCTTGTTTCACTTATTTGTTTGACATGTGAGTGTTTACAGTTCACAGAATTGTGATATGTGGCTCTATCAGATGAAAGATGACTATAATTAGAAGTAAGATATTGAAAGTACTGACACTTAAGAAGCAGGAAATAAACTGAATTTAATCCTTGAAGAAGAAGAAAAAACTCAGAAAACCTGCAGGTAAAACTTATTCTTTCAGGTGTTGCACAAAATACATGAATTATGCACAAGGTCATTGTAGAAAAGCACTATATAAGAATCAGTCCATTACCATGATTAGATGCCTTAGAATCCTCAAAGCCTGTTGAAGCCAGTTAGTGAAATTTTCTTTCAGCTCCAATATTTATTTATTCATATTTTTTTGTCTTTTAGCGCTGTTTTAACTGGATCTACAGAAAAAGTTAACAACATAACCTTAATATTGAACCAGATCTGAAATACAAAGTAATTAAAAAAATAAGATAAAAACATAATCAATCCTAAGATATTTTCCTGTATCTTCTATAAACCAGGTAATAATGAGGCCATATAAAGCACTCATTCCTATATACTCATGTCCTATTTGATGCTTTATGGATACAGAAACCAGAAGAACACAGCGAGCCTCCAAGCTGCTCCAGGAAATCAAAGAATTCACGGCTGGTCGTTGTTCTTAAAAGCATTGAGGCTCCAGGTGGAGCTCATCCCACCAAAAGAAGCGTGTGTGTGGGGGGGGGGCGTCATGTGATCACAGCAGTGGCAGTCAGGACTGGGAATACCGGCCCGCAAAGTGTTTTCCTTAACTTATGCGCTCCGTGGACACAGACAGAGACACCTCCAGTCCCGACTGCAACTTTGCATATGCGTCTAGGACGCAGCGCGCATGCACTGGACTCGGGTATGGACACTGAGGAGCTTTTCTTTCGACGAGCGGATTTAAAATTTTAAATCTACTGTTGTTTAGAAGAGATAGAGTTTAGCAGAAATGCGAGATGGAGTCTGAGGAGAATAAGATATCAGTGTGGGTCTGCCGAGAGGAAAAGCTCGTCCTCGGCTTGTCAAAGCGCACAACTTGCGCTGATGTTATCAAAGTGCTTCTTGAAGACCAAAACTCCCAACAAGGGCTTTGCGCAGCACAGTCCTACTGCATCGTGGAAAAATGGAGGGGATGCGAGAGGATTTTGCCAAACAAAACTAGGATTTTGCGGCTTTGGGTCGCCTGGGGAGACGAGCAGAGAAACGTCAAGTTCGTGCTGGTGAAGAGCGAAGTGTCTTTGGACACCCACGGAGCCCGAAGCGCAGAGGCGCGCGTGGTGCTCAGCAAACAGAGCCCCTGTATTATGAAAGGGACCGCGCGGTGTACCGTGAGTTCCATCTCACCTGAGAAACAGCGTCGGATAGTCAGGAAAGCTTTTAGAAAGTTGGAGAAGATCAATAAAAAGAGATCAAAGGCGGCGCGCAGAGACGCGTCCGGCGCGGAGAAGATGGAAACTTTGGTTCATTCTGTGGTTTCTCAGGATCATACAATCCGACAGCAGATTCAGAGGATTACAGAGCTGGACGCAGAGATCGAAAGGTGCGAGGCGAAGGTGCACATGGACAGAATTAAAAGGCACGGGGCCAATTACGTTCAAAATACGTATTTGGTTGATGTCGCTGCGGCTTCCAGCCACGAAGTGGAAGACCTGCGTTCCTCTGACACTTTGGCCAAGCTTGAAAAGTATTTCCGACACCGTGAGGAGATGGTTAGACTACAGGAGGGGTTGTGGGAGCAGGAAACCCTTATAGACGTGATCACAGGGGAGATCCAGGAAGAGCTGAACCACCGCTGGATGCAGCGGAGGAAGGAGGAGCTGCAACGTAAAAACCTGGAGTCTGGGGATGACTCGCTATTCCTTCCCTGCATCGAAGTGGAAACATCACCAGAAAACGAGCAGCTTTTGGAAGAAGAGAGGATCAAAACGCAGTTAAATGCCAGTTTATACATCGGCCTGCGCCTCAACGCGGATTTAGAAGCTATTAGGAGCGATTTAGAGCTGACCGAGCAGATTTGCGGGGAGAGGGAGAGGGAGATAAGGGATTTGTTGGAGAAAGTGAACACTTTGGGCATGGAGGAGGGGACAGACACTAAGAAGAGATATAGCCACGGGGCAGACGTTAAGACGGGGATGATGAGCACTTTGCAGAGAAAAAACGTGTGGGTGGAGCAAGCAAGGGGGTTGTCAAAAACTGTGAACGACGACGATTCAGACACTGGCTTAAGTTCTCTGCACAGTCAGGACTCCGACAGCCTCCCTGTGTGGGAATCATTAGTTTAATATTTTCCTTGGAAAACTGACTTATCTATGTTTCTAATTCTCAGGGGTCATAAGTACTCTGACATAAACAAATAAATGTTTTTCCCCACTGTCAGCATACACGTATTGCTTTTTAAAATGCATTTTCTTAATCTTTTTTTTCTGTTAACAAGAAACCCGCAAAAATCAATAAAAAACTTTAAAAAAAAACAATACAAACATGGTTCTATTTGATTTTCTTCTTTCTGTTTAAAAATAGTTTAAGGTTTTTGGAGCCTTGAGTAGCAGTTAGGATAGCAGCAGATTTCTCCAACCCCTGCCATAATGTTCGCCTCAGAGTCAGCAGGGCACCAGACCGAAAAAACAAAGTCAAAGGTTTTTGGATGATTCTGAAGATGTTTGAAAACAGCAGTATCAGCAGTAGCTTTCTCAGACTCCAAGAGAAAGAAAAAAAAAGCCTTTTTGGGAAATCAGTCAGACGTAAAAATATCTGAAGTCAAAACAGAGGCGCAGAGCTCAAACGGGAGGTCTGATCTTCATCATGACAACTCACTGAGCACAGCTGACCTTTTCCTCTCAGATCGACGATGACATTTTGCACACAGACATGAACGACACAAGTCTTACATCTACACTGGCTGCTTTTCGGCAGCACACAACCCCCTCCCACAGTTTATCTCCCAGCTGCTAAAAAAAAAAGAAAAAAAGGAGGCTTTTTATTTCCCTAAAATAAAATAGCATCTTTTTTAATCTTTTATGAATCCCCGACAAGCATGCTTGTCTTTTTTTGTGTGAAAATGAAACCCTTAAGAACCCTGATTTAAAGATTTAGAGGTTATGTGGCAATTTTATCAGATCACTTGACAACCTTTTTACTGTGAGAATAATCAAAATGATACAATATACAGACTGTAATTTCATGAGGTCAAGAGCAGCTCTTGTCACATTTTCAATAACTGCTTACTTTTTCTTTTTTCCCTGACATCCGGGGAGCCGTCAAACTAGATTTGCTTTTAATCTGATAGTCTGACAATCTTCCTCAGTCCATTGCATCCCAGCATGTAATAAGCTGTTAATCTCCTTTCTCAATGATTAATTATTTATTTAACAGCCTCAAGTTAGCTGGATAAGTTTTTTTAAAATGTATTTAGGAAATTCGATTTTTAAGATTCCTTTACCAATAGAGACTCCATCTTTACGGTCTATATCTTTGTGTATCATTGCGTGTGATCTTCTGCATACCTTGGTCATAATGAGTGGTTATTTTAGCTTCCGTTGTCTTCCTATCAGCATAAAAGCAATCTGGAAATTTTCCTCTAACATTTGGTGCGAACAAGTCACTCTCAACTAGAGAACTGCTGCTCACAGGGTGATTC